GAAATAAGCATGCTGGATGGTAGAAAAATAAAGAGAATGAAGGCTCTATGAACTCATTAATAAGTGCCAAGTAACTGGGCTCCTGCCCCCAACGTGGGAGACCTGGACTGTATTCCAGCCCTTGCCTTCAGCCCCAGCCCAGCTCCGGCCATTGCAGCATTTGGGGAGATAGGAATGTGCTCCTGTGGTCTCTCTCTCTGCCTCTCAAATAAAAGAATAATCGTAACTGCATTGCTCCTTTGCAAATACAGTGGTTAAGATGCCCACATCCCAAACTGGAGTCCCTGGGTCCACTTCCAATTCCAGCTTCCCACGAATGCACTTCCAGGAAGGCAACAGAGGATGGCTCGAGTACTTGGGTCCTTGGGTCCCTGCCACCCATGTGAGAAACCAAGATTGAGATCAGGCCTCTTGGCTTTGATCTGGCCCAACCCTGGCTGTTGTGAGCATTTGTGGAGTGAACCAGTGAATGAAAGATTCTCTATCTGTATCTGTGTGTGTGTGTGTGTGTGTGTGTCTGTCTGTCTGTCTGTCTGTCTTCAAAAAAGAAAGAAAGAAAGAAAGAAAGAAAGAAAGAAAGAAAGAAAGAAAATAAATAAATAAATAAATAAAAACTCAGATGTTGACTTAGAAATAACTCTAAGTTTAGACACATTACTGGTTTTGTATTTGGATTTCCTCCTTAGAGCAATGTCTCCCAAATCACTACAGGGAATTAACTGAAGCAGTAACAGCCAGAGCCAAAAATAGCTTTCATTGACTTGAAAGGTTTTGGGTTTTGTTTTTTAAGTATCCTAACACACTGAATCAGGGGTCAAGCTGAGCTGGAATTTTTTTGTTCTAATAATATTTCTATATGACTCCTTTCAAGACTCACATCCTTCTGAAAAACGAACTGTTATTTTAAAAGCAAGTAAGTTATCAGTGAAAATACAGCAAGTTCTTTGACCACACATTTTAAAAGAAATCCCAGTAAGTTGTCACAATCTTATCTGAGAATGGACTTCTGACTTGAGGGGTGATCTAAACCAGCAATAAGCTAGCCATCACCAGATTATGCTAGGTCATCCTCGGATTCTTATCCCATTTCCTCCAGAGTCAGTGAAAAAATTCTCATGAATGCAAGTTTCTCACCAGTGAAGGGAAATGGTAGAAATGTCAATATTGTTTGCTTAGGTTGGTAGATGAACCGCAGAGAACAAGAAGGAAGGGGAAAGACAGGCATGGTAAGATGGTTGCCACCAGAGCAGATGGAGCAGTTACAATTCAAGGGCTCTGATGGCTTCCCTCCTTCCTTCCAGGGGAAGTAGTTCAATGAACATATGAAGGAGAATCCTGCTTTGACCAAATCTGTCCTTTGGTGTTGCTCTGAGAGATGATGAAGCATGGGTGTGACTGCCTCGGAGCGGTAATGGTTCTATTCTTACCTGTAACTATAGGACCTGGTTAACCTGCCCTGTGTTCCCACCATCTGGGGAGACAGCTAATAGCCCAATTGTTCTGCCTCCTCCACCTTGGATCACCAAACACTTTGCTCTACCACCATTTAGAACTTCTCACCATTGTATTCTAGAAATGGATCTAAGGTATCTACAGCCCCTGAGAGACTGCGACGTTACTCCTGTTTGTACTTGTAGGACATGGCAATGAACCTGACACCTAGAAGTACCTGATATATGTTTGTAAACTACTGGAGGAATGGTTGCAAACCTCAAAGAAAAAGATGACTGCAAAGGGTGGTTCCAGATGGCTGAGATTTCTCCAAGGACGGCACACTCCTTCCTGCCTCGGCTTCTCCAGGTGGTATAACAGGTGTTGGTTCTCACCGTGGTCCCTCAGTCCAGGAACATCAGCACTGGTATCGGCCCGGCACCTGTTAGAAATGCAAATCTCGGCCGGCGCCATGGCTCACTAGGCTAATCCTCCGCCTAGCGGCGCCGGCACACCGGGTTCTAGTCCCGGTCGGGGCGCCGGATTCTGTCCCGGTTGCCCCTCTTCCAGGCCAGCTCTCTGCTGTGGCCCGGGAGTGCAGTGGAGGATGGCCCAGGTGCTTGGGCCCTGCACCCCATGGGAGACCAGGAAAAGCACCTGGTTCCTGGCTCCTGCCACCGGATGGGCGCGGTGCGCCAGCCGCAGCGCGCCGGCCGCGGCGGCCATTGGAGGGTGAACCAACGGCAAAAGGAAGACCTTTCTCTCTGTCTCTCTCTCTCACTGTCCACTCTGCCTGTCAAAAAAAAAAAAATGCAAATCTCTGGACATCCCCAAGATGTACAGATTCAGGAATTATGGGGGTGAGGCCCAGAAATTGTATTTTAATAAGCTTCCACTGTCCTTCTGTTGCACACTGATGTTTGAGAACCAGTGATGTTGGACAAAGCCCACGGAAAACTTGTGCCCTTTCTCTGGTTTAACCTAACAGCTATGTGACAACCATGGCTGAATCTTTAAGTCCCTCAAAACTCAGTCTCTACAGGAGGTTGCAATGATGCCTAAGGGCTCTCTGGTCCAAAATGCTGTGAAACACCAGAGGCAAAAAGATAGTGAATCAATGTTCCAGTGACGAGACTTACTCATTCAGTCAACAAATATTACATACCAGGCACTGTCCTGCTCATGGAATCAATGCATAACTCAAAATTATAGACAGACAGCAAGAGCGCCCATCTGCTGCTGGTTCACTCTCTAAGTGCCACAACAGTGCCATCCTGGGGACTAAATCCAGGTCTCTCAGTGGTGGCAGCGAGCTAACTACATGAGCCCTCACCACAGTCCCCCACTGTCCGCATTAGCAGGAAGTTGGAGACTGGGAGCACAGCTGAGTCAGGATGTGAACCCAGGCACTCCAATATGGGTCACAGGCACTTTAAACAGTGTCTTAAACGCTAAACCCAACACATATACACACAAACCCTGAAATTACTTCTTTTTAATGAAACGAGTTAGAATATTCCAGACCACAGACTTTTGTCTGTCCTCTCTCTGCAAGGTTCTTGGACAGCATCAGTCATGCAATGTACATGAAAAACTAAGAAAATGATCCAAAGAGTTGGGACCTCCTCCTTCCCCAAACTACCGTGGCTTTAATTTTTGAACAATGGACTGCAGTACAGATCAGAAGGCAAGTACGCGATAATGTGATTACCTACCAAATAATCTCTGAGTCTGCATTACTTCATAACAGAGGGTTGCTTGCTCTTCTAGGAAATCTAATTCCATCTAATTCTGTCTGCTCACTGCTTCTTCCCAGTTAATTGCTGCGAGGACAGCTTGAACAAGTTCCTGTGCAACCATTCGTGTTCTCTGTCTGTCTCCCGTATGGAACTCCCGCACCCTACCACACTAACTCAGAGCACTCTGCGGGTTCCTAGGGTGTCTTTTAGACTAATCCATTTCAGTGCCTAGGTGAAGACCTTCTAAGAAAAGACAAACACAAAAGCCACCATACATGATTTTCTGACTTTTTCACTGCATCTGCAAGGACAGGAGATGGCGCCACAGGGCAGTGGAATGCCTTGGCTTTGGTAGGCTTTCTGCCAACTCTAAAGGGCTCGAGACCGAGAAGTCAGAACTGAAACAAAGGTGCCGGAGTTTGAATAAAGACTAAAAGGGGGAGACTGAGGGAGGAGTCACTTTCCTTTTCTTTCTTTCTTTCTTTTTTCTTTTTTTTTTTTTTTTTTAACATACAAGGATCCTCTTGACACTTACTCCAAATCAGCAAGCACAGCAGAAAGCCGTGACAGAAATACCCACAGTAAAGCCAAAGCTCAAAACACAGCCAAGTCCCTGGAGGGCAGTGCGTGCCTCTTTCTCCCGCGCTCCTAGAAATCAGGGCTGTTGTCCACTCAGGAACCAGGAGGTGTTGGTTTGGGCCTAAGACATTTTTGAGAAGCAATGTTCAATTGAGTAGGCAAAATCGCAGAGCCCACCAGCAGTGAACGGCTTCCCGGAAGGAATTACACACGAAAACATTTTAAATTAAAATTTAAAAATTCATAGATGAGCCAGGAGGTGGCACCAAAGCAAGACCGCCACCTGCTTTGGGCGGCTGTCTCTCCAGCGGAACTCTGTCCTGGCAAAGGTCATTCTGTCTTTCAGACCACATGAAAGATACCTCTGTTTGCCTTCTGTTCTTCCATTCCTCTTTGACCTGAGTCCTAGGAAGTCTAATTTACACTTTGCACCTTTTATTCTTCCCAGACGGGATGCATGGGACCTGGGGAGACCTCAAAACTTAATAACTTTCCCTTAGCGGGAAAATTAATTTAGATGGCAATGAGAGAATAAAAAAAGAGCAAGAGATGACATCCACAAAAGTCCTTGCTTTGCAGATCAATCACAGGGGACAGCAAGTCTGCAGGAGCTGATGATCCAGCACATGCATTATTCTGCTCATTTGGCTCCCTTTGTTGGGCTATTTACTGCTACTCAGCAGGAGCAAGGCGGGGCAGAGGGAGATCAAGGGGGTGCATCCGCCCGGCTGGTGACCCTGGTGAAGGGTAGGGGAAAGTTCCAATGTGGTGCTTGAAATTATCTGTGTGTTTCACATTCACTAATGAGGGATTTAGGATGTACATTCCGATCGGGATTTCCAGTCCCGTGGGGGAGCATGCACAGCCCGCATTCCTGAGACGCGCAGCCTCTGTGCTCCACCGGCCCAGCTCCTCGGTGGCAGGCTTCTTCCCTCAGCCCCATATGTGCTGCCCAGACCCTTTGTCAGGAGGAAGGACCCGGGGCCCCTCTCCCATCTGGATCACATGGTCTCTCTCTGGTCCCTCCCCTCCTTTTCTCTGGAGCCCGCCTTTTCCTGGGGGTGGGAGTGATTGTTTGCACAGTCTCCTGCCTCTCCTGCCACCCCAGCCTCTCTGCCAGGGGTCAGTGTCCTCTTCAGTGACAAAAGCCGCCCTAGATCTGGGCTCCCTGGGGAGGGAGGTGGCTGGGCCTGGCAGTTAGAGCCGCTGTCTCTCCATGGTGCTGCTGCAGCCCCTCCCCCGCTGGGCACACAAATGGGCTTTATACAACAAACAAGCCCGCCCCCCCCCCTCCCCAGCCACACAGGCACGTGGACCCAGGCCTCACCGTGGGAAGGGGGTGGTGACAGGCGCAGGGGAAGACATCACTACAGACAAGTTCTCTTCGCCTCACTTCTCGTCCCGATCTGCCGGGGCCCAGGCTTTAGTCCTTGACTTCCCACCCCTACCTGCACCCTGAGTTCCCAACTCCTGTTCTTCATTTCCTGACTCTGGACTCTTGCTGTTCCAGGGTAGCTCAGATTCAGCAGTAGATTGGGCCTACGTCCCCACCAGCCATCCCTTACCCGCCAGGGAGGGGGGACGAGAACACAGTGATCTTTGGAGGAGGCTGGGTTGGGCCCCAGTTTCCCCTCCTTGCCCCCGCTTGCTCTAGGGGTCACCCATCTGAGCAGTGTCCGTGTGAACAGCAGAGGAAGGAAGAGCTCACCCCAGCTGGGCTCCTGAGCCAGGGCCAGGGCTCCGGTGAAGCCCGCGCTCCCAGCGAGCGGGGCCATCGTGCATGCCTAATCGGCTATTTAAGGAGCTGTTCCCCAGCAGCCCGGGCACCCCCCCTCCCCACGTACACCCGTCCAGAGCCACCTTAAAAGCGGGAGGCAATTGTGAAGTCGCTGGCCAGCAAGTGGAGTGGAGACTGCAGAGGAAGATTAAGAGGGCAGAGAGAGCCAGAGATCTGTCCCAGGACTCAGAAACTCTTAGTACCCTACTAAAAACCAGATCCCCTGGAAGCCCACAGAGACAGCAAGCGGAAAAGAGATCAATACACTCAACGCCAGGAACTTTCTCTCCCTCCCTCCCTCTCTCCTCTCGCTCTCACCCACCTTTTATTTTTCCCTCCCCCACCCCTGCCTGCCCCAGCCCTCTAGTCCCCAAACTCCCCGACCCTTGTGCCCTTTCTGGGATACCATGCTGTTCCTCGCCCTCCTGTTAGAGGTGATTTGGATCCTGGCTGCAGATGGGGGTAGGTACGAGTGGATGTGTGTGGGGGCAGGGGTCTGTGCTGATGTCCGCATGTCACCGAGTGTGCTTAATGGGGGAGGAGAGGTGGAAACGGACGCCTGGGGCTGGAGCAAGGGACTCAGGGTACGGAGATCGCTTCCCTTCTTTTCGCTTTGCCCTCACAGCCCTGCTGTTGCCGAGGGTGGGGCCAAGCTAACAGGGGGCAGGGTGTGGAGGGGCTTCTCTCCAGAGCTCCTTCCCGCCAGGGAGCAGAAGAGCAAAGGGGTGAAAAGCCACAGGGGGCATGTGGGGAGCACACCGGACACCTCCTGCCCAGCTCCCAGCCCACCCTCCAGCTCCGGAGCTCCCTCTCTGCCCTTGTGGAGTGACTCCAGCTTGTCCCTAAAAGCAGCTGCACTCGGTCAACATGTGCTTGGCCCTTTACAGTTTACAAAGGGAAGGGGTCCGAGGCGCGCCCAGGAGGTGCGCGGGGATTCTTGGGAGAACAGGCGGAGGTGCTCCGGGAGTGTCCCCGCGGGGGGTGGGGGTGGGGGTGGGGGTCCCCTAGCCATCGCTTTTGTGTTTCACGTGCCTAGTGAGGATACAGCACATAGTAGGTGTTCAATGGAGGTGTGCTGGAAGAACTGGGTGACGGGGGTGGGGTGGGGGTAGTGTCTAGGGTGCAGAAGGGGAAGGCACCTTCACAGAAGCAAGGTGTGGGGTGTCCCACAGAGCTGATACATTAGGGCTGGGAAGCCAGGAATGTGCCAGTGATGGAGCGCGCGTGCGATCCGAAACGTCTCACAAGTCTCCGAAACGTAAGGCGATGGGGGGAGGGGCACGGAGAGAAAAGCACGGAGAGTTTTTCTGAGGGTTTCCAGCAGTTCGAATACTGCGGCAGACACCTCCAGCCCAGCCTTCCTTTCCTCCTAGAAGGGGACTGGACCTGCAGCCCCTGCCTCTGAGCCACAGACAGGGCGCACCAGCTCCTGGCATGTGACCCGGCTGGCAGCTCTCCTCTCCGCACACAATGCTTCACTTTCATCCTGCCCTTGCCAGCCTGGCCGCGCGTGCCCACCCACCACCCTCAACCTAGCGTAGACCCTGCCCTGACTCCCGCCCTCCCCTGGCCCTACAGGAACAGACGGAGCAGAGGCTGCTGCTGATGCAGAGTTTTGCTCCTGAGACCAGAAAGGAAGAATTGCAATATGAATTTCCAGTTCACTGCCTTGATTCATGCAGTGCTCCAAGGCTAAAGAATAACACCCCCCACTCAGAAGCACCCCACGTGCTCTGAACTTCTTTCCCCTACCCTCTTTCTGGTCCCTTTCCTACAAACTCCGGCACTGCCAGCCCACCCCACCCCAATCTTCTAAAGGTTAGATTGATTTGGCACGAGCTGGAGAAAAGTTAAGGGCTGGGCCGCCTGCACATTTGGATCCTGGTTAATTTTAGTCCCGGAGCTTTCTTTCTTTTCATTCCTCCTCCCCCTTTAACTCAGCAAGCACAAGCGTGGCCTGGCTGGCGATTTTAAATAGGCCCCCCGACCTTTCCACCGAGGTGTCCAGTTTCAGGGCTTCCTTTGGGAAGCACGGCAGGGCAGCAGAGGGAGGAGAGTGGGCAGAGAGGGAGGTGGAGCACAGCTGAGTGCCCGAGGGAGGGGAGAGTGGAGGACAGGGCTCTGCCCCAGGCTGCACTGGCTCTAACCCAAACTGCTTTGCCTTGCAGGTCACCACTGGACATATGAGGGTGAGAGCAGTACTCCAGCCCTGCCGACATCCCTCTCGCACTAGGACTGCCTGATCCGTGGGGCAGAACACCTGCTGTGAGGGTGGGGAGGAAGTTTCCTTTGGCTCCTCACCCAGGCTCCCACCTTTCCCCCTGCCCCATTCCCTGGGCTGTGCATCCCTGTCTCCTAGACCCTGTTCTAATCATCAAATCCCACACCTCCTGATTCAGCAGAAAAGCTGGTTAGGTCCTCAGTGAATCCATGTGGGAGTGAGGGAGCTGGAGTGGGAGGGAGATGGTGGGGAAAGGAGCCAGAGCTTGCCTGTCAGTTCTGGCTCTCTCTGTCCTACTGATTCCTACCCACAACCTGCACCTGAACTTAGGACAGCGCCTGAGGCCAGGGGTGAGGAAGAAGCTGGTGGGAGAGTTTGTGACCTTGGGAGAGGTGGGATTCAATTCCTCTGAACTTCTAATGATTTCACCAAGTTCCAGATTCAGTGCAAGGTTCAGTGTGAGAGCAAGAAGTGAATGATGAAAATCAGGATGTCTGACTCCCAGGTTCACTTCAGAGGGGTCCCCAGGAGACCCTTTCTCTGGGATCATTTTGCCCCCCCCCCCCATTTTCCTACTTCTGCTCTCCAATCTCACCTCTCTGAGAATTCAGGCTTCTGCCCACACCCTCTTCCCCTCATTCAGCTCCCTTGTCCTCAAATGACAGGTGGGTTAAGAGCTGCTGCGCTCATTTGCCAGTCTAGATGGGGAATCACCCCCCATCTCTGGGTAGGTGAGGGGAACGCATAGCATGAAGTCCAGCAGGGACTCCGACCTTAGCCAGCCTGGCGTAACTGGAGTCTAGGCCTGCGTGGAAGGGAGTGCATCGTACCTCCACACAGACTCGTAACTGGGTGAGGCAGAACTGACGGGTGGCGGGGGCTGGAGGGCAGGACAAACATCCGTGGTAACTCCCACCAGGCCCCCATGGTCAGGACCATTGGCCAGCCTCTTACCCTGAGTGTGGACGTGATGCCCAGTCCCCCATCGATATCCAGACTGACAGTGTGACATTTGACCCCGAGTTGCCTGCTCTGCAGCCCCATGGATATGACCAGCCTGGCACTGAGCCTTTGGACCTGCACAATAATGGCCACACAGGTAAAAGCCCGGGCTCCAAGCAGTTCTAGGCTCCAGCTCAAATCTTAGGAGTTGGGGGGAAAGGAACCATTTGGGGACTATGAAAATAGGATCAGGCTCCTGCAGCCAAGGGGAGACTGCATGTCTACAGCCAAGTTTGGGTAGGTGAGCACTCGATCTTCGTTGAGAAAGAGGGAGATACACTAGCAAAGCATTGGCTTATGGAACCAGGTGCTTTTGGGGGTAGAAGATGAGAAAGGAGGGCCAAGTCCCCCAAGAAGTGGTGGCAACCCGGGGGTGGGACTATGTTATATTCTTCCACCAATCCTAGCTTGCTCTCTCCCTCTCAGTGCAACTCTCTCTGCCCCCTACACTGTACCTGAGTGGACTTCCTGGAAAATACGTGGCTGCCCAGCTCCACCTGCACTGGGGTCAGAAAGCGTCCCCAGGGGGGTCCGAGCACCAGATCAACAGCGAAGCCACAGCCGCAGAGGTACCAGGCAACAGGAAGCCCGCACTCTGCGGTGGTTGGTCCTCGGGAAACGAAGGCTTTGAACACAAGGAAAAGTCCTCTTAGGGGGATAAGGCCACCTCTCGTGGGACGGACAGAGGGCACGCTGGGGGTGGGGGCTGCGGCTAAGGCCAAGGCCTCCGAGGCAGGTGGGGAAACCTTAAGTGACTCCATTTCCTCTCCCTTCCCTCAGCTCCACATCGTCCACTATGATTCTGACTCCTACGAGAGCTTGAGTGAGGCAGCTCCGAGGCCGCAGGGCCTGGCTGTCCTGGGTGTCCTGATTGAGGTCAGTGGCGCCAGTTCCTCCCAGGTCTCCCCCCACTTTCTCACAGCCCTCGGGCTCTCCGCTGCTGGCCTCTCTCTAGCGGCAAGCAGGAACCCACTCTGACCATTTCTTCGGCACACGAATGACTCGCTCCAAAACCACCCATTCTATACTCTCTCCCTTCCCTCCCCCTCCAGGTGGGTGACACTGAGAATCCGGCTTATGAACACATTCTGCAGCACTTGCATGAAATAAGACATAAAGGTGAGCCCTCCCGGTATATGGGAAGTGAGACTAGATTTTACAGAAACTTCCAAAACCTCACCTGTGAGGCCTGAGAAGCCGGCAGTGAGCTGGGGCCAGCGGCCCTGCAGGCGGGAGCTGTGTCTGGGTGAGTGAGCTGTCCTCTTCCCCCCAGGCCAGAAGACCTCAGTGCCTCCCTTCAACGTGGGAGAGCTGCTCCCCCCGCAGCTGGAGCACTTCTTCCGGTACAATGGCTCGCTCACCACGCCCCCCTGCTACCAGAGCGTGCTCTGGACAGTCTTCAGCCGCAGGGCCCAGATCTCAGCAGAGCAGGTGAGTGGTGGAGAGGTGGGAGACCCGGCTGTGACTTCAGATCCCTCCTGCTGCTCCCCACAAAGTGACACCTCGTGTGCTCTCCTCCCCAGCTGGAGAGACTTCAGGAGGCCCTGTTCTCCACGGAGGAGGAGCCCTCTGAGCTCCTGGCCCAGAACTTCCGCTCCCCGAAGCCTCTCAATCAGCGGGTGGTCTTGGCCTCTTTCATGCCAGGTGACTGTGCAGGGGTCACGGAGGGCCTCAACGGCAAGAACTAGGGAGCCTCTAGGGGAGGAAAAGGCTGGGAGGGGAGGGGGCTTCCTCAGACCCCAGGCGCTCAGGCACGAAAGCAGAGTGTGCCCTCAGGCGGGGCGGCAGTCTGAGGTCCCTCTGACCCAGGTCTTCTTCCCTTACAGCAGCATCCTTGTACAGCACAGGTAAGACAGCCCCACCCAGGTGTGGCAGGGGGCAGGGGGCAGGGGGCAGGGCTCCTAGGCTCACCCCTGCCATCTCTATCTTCCCCAGGCGAAATGCTGACTATAGGCGTGGGAATCCTGGTTGGCTGTCTCTGTTTGCTGCTGGCTGTTTATTTCATCGTTAGAAAGATCAGGTAAGGTCCTCCTTTCCATTCCTTCAACCCTCTCCTTTCTCCAGAAAAGCACGCGATTCCACCTTTAGTCTGCCTCACTCCGGACATGGTCATCCCATGAACCATCACTGCCCCTTGCAGGAAGAAGAGGCTGGGAAACCGGAAGAGTGTGGTCTTCACCTCAGCCCGATCCACGGCTGAGGCATAAACTCGGCCCACGGATGCCTTCCCCTCATGCCAATCAGGGAGCCTCTAAAATGGGGTGTGGGGACTGGCCAGAAAAGACAGTAGGAGTAGTTAGTAGCCCCCCTCCTTCTTCTGGACACCCTCGACAAGGGGGCATGGACCCCAGGCTCTCACTCAAAGGACAGGGGAGCCTTCAGACCAGATTCCTACTTGCAGAGGGCAGGCTATGAGACGATGTTCAGCTGTAGAAGTTGAGGATGTGCCCAAAGCCCCCACTCCCAACTATGATGTCCCTTTCCTCAGATGTGTTGCAGGATTGTCCTTTAGGAAAAAGGGTTGATGTTAGGTTTTTTTTTTTTTTCTCAATTCATTTAGAAATTAAAGTTTTAGGGGCCAGCATTTTGGCATAGCTGGTTAAGCTGCCGCCTGCGATGCCAGCATCCCATATGGGCACTGGTTCAAGTCCCAGTTGCTCCACTTCCAATCCGGCTCCTTGCTAATGGTCTGGGAAAGCAGCAGAGGATGGCCCAAGTGCTTGGGCCCCTGCACGCACTTGGGAGACCTAAAAGAAGCTCCTGGCTCCTGGCCTCAGCCTGGAACAGCCCCAGCCATTGCAGCCATTGGGGAGTGAACCAGCAGATGGAAGATCTCAATCTTAATCTGGATATCTCTCTCTCTCTCTCTGCCTTTCAGATAAATAAAAATTTCTTAAAAAATTAAAGTTTTTGACCTCAGTTCTGGCCTATTCTTTGGGGCTCTTAAGGGTAGGAGAGTTCCTTAAGTCCTTAGGTGGCAGACACAGGCAAAGGATAGGGAAAAACAAGCAGGGGTGATTAACTCCTGTTGTCCCATCCCGGAAAGTGGGGCGAGGGAATCTGCTTCTAGGAAAATGCATAAGCCAGAGTTTCCGGCATTAAACCGCCAGCCCAGATTTCTGCCCTTGCATGGGAACTACGTGTTGCAATCAGGGGCTGCCAGGCTAGGAAGGAGGCTGGGCAAGAGACACAAGCGCGCACAAGTCTGAATGAAAAGTGTTATCCCCACCCTGAAAAGTCAAGCTCCCCCACAATTATAAAGTCCTTTTTATTAGTCAAAATCACAATCACCTTGATTAAAAGGATGGGACACTCCACCCTCAGCAGAAAATGATACAGTTTATAGAAAACCTCCCACCCCTCCCACACCCCAATTAAAAACTAGAAAAAATCTGCCCTCCCTCCCTGCGATGTCATGGGAGTCTGACCCTCCGGGCACTGGGGCTCTGCAGGGGCCAGCTCACCACAGCACCCTCCACTTCACCTTGGGGAGAGGAGGGATGCTGGTGGTCAGGAGGTTAAAACCATTAGTTCCAGTAATACCAGTTCCCAAACATGCACGTCCTTCCTTTTCCCCAGGGCCTGGGACCTAGGGGAAAGGGGATAGAAATGAGCCCAGCCATGAGCAATCTGAGGAGGGGAAAAAGGAGCCCAAGGAGGTCAGAAGTATTCCAACATACCTCCTCCCTTCCCCAAATTGGAAAAAAAAAAAAAGGCAGTTGGAATCATCACACCAAACATGGTTCCCCTCTGAGACCTGAGAGAGAGACTAAGATGTCCAGTCTTGTGGGGGCAGGATACTGGGAAACTCGAAGCTCGCCTACCCTTGAGCCTCCATTCGCTTCATCTCCAGGGCAATGGCTAAACTAAGTCCCTTTTCTTGGCAACCTGCACTGTCCAGAACTGGAGATGGAGAAATACGGGGCGAGGAGATCAGGAGGGCACCCCAGGCCCAGGGGTCCCCCCCCAGGTTCCCTCAGTCCTCGGGTGGGATGCGCAGGGCAGAATACACCATCACCCGACTGTCCTCCTGCCGTCGGCCTGCAGAGGGGAAGCGGGGTGAGTCATGGGCAGGGTGAGAGCAGAGCACTGACACACAGGGAGGCCTGGACATGGGGGTCCCCAGTTTGGGTGGGGGGATAAGTGCAGATTCAAACCCACCAGTCACTGACTGGCTGAACCCAGGCTGCTCCTGATCAAGCTCAGAGACTAAAGGTCACAACTGGACAAAGCAAAACCCTGAAGGTGGTGGGAGAGACCAACGAGGAGACAGAGTGGGCAATGGACCCGGGCTGGGGCTGGGTTCAGTCATGGGCAGTGGACAGGCAGGTGGGATCTGTCAGGCGATCAGTCCAGGTAGTCAGTCCTTACACGAGAGGCTGCGCTGGATACTGCGGAGGGAGCCTCCGGCTGTGATGAAGGCCCACAGCCCCATGGACACAGTGACTGCGTAGATGGGCAGCAGGCTGGCCTCATACCAGGGGTTCAGGAACGTCTGCGGATGAGGGTGGGCGTAGACAAGGAGTTACATCCTTCCCTAACCTGATCCCCACTTGCCCACTGTACCTTTGGCTCAATCCTCCCCCGCATATTTCACTCAAATCCCCCATGCTTCCCCTTTAGGGCACCAATGTCTTGTGACTAAGGGCATTTTTGATTTTGAGCTCCCTCTGAAGCACAGTCTGCCTAATCCGTTCAGACTCCTCCCCAGAACATGCCCTGAGCAGCAGCCACAGTGATGCTGAGGTGCCACACTCCACATACTCACCTTTCTGCCTCCTCCCAGGCCGGCGCGAAATGCTAAGGAATGAGGATTCACCGCCTGCCCCTGGCCCCACCCACCATGCCATAATGCTCATCTCCCTAACTCAGGCCCCTAGCTGTAACTCACCAGTCCCGACGTCAGTAGGTGACTCCCAACCACCAGGCCCAAAGCCCAGTACCGTCTCCTCTCACAGGCATCAAAGAACACAACTCCCCAAAAGGTATGGAGCAGGATAATGGCTGCTGTCAGAAAGGCTGCAGGGAGGGAGACGGGGATGAGCTCCACCCCGATCCTCTCCCAGCGTCCTGAGACGTTGAGCCAAAGAAGTCTCCCAGGGAAGGGGAACAAATCATATCAGGGCCAGGGACAGAGAGGGCAGGAGGGCAAGACAGGAGGTGGGCCTTACCTGAAGTCAAGAAGTAATAGGGTGAGTCTCCATGGATCCCAACCACACCTGGCCCAAGTGCATCAGCCAAAATATTGATAACAGAGAAGACACCACTGATGATACCGAAGGAGAGACCAGAAACTGGGGGGAGGGAGGGTCTCATGAGTGTCAGAGGTCACCACGGCCTGCTCGCCAGCGACCCTCTCCACTCCCACTCACAATTCTCCCACACCTGCTCTCCCTCCAGACCACCTCTCCTGGAAGCCAGGGATGGAGGAAAACAAGAAGTCACTTAGAACGTGTGGATCTTTAGACTTCCCTAGGGGAAGGGGGGGCCGGGGGTCTCTCGCGCCCTCCTCCAGCCCCTCTCCCTTGGCTCACCATAGGCCATCTGGCGGATGGAGATGGGTGATCTTCCGTCCTCACTCAGCGATGCTAACCCCTCATCTGCCTTCCTGGGGTGGGGTGGGGTAGGGGACACATGAGGGAAGGCAGGGCTGCTCCTTTCCCTCTCATGTCCTCCCTTAGTGCCTCCTCTTCCAAGACCACCCCGGCAGGAGGGGGACTGCCCTACTTCCCACAGTGCGATGCGCTGCCCCTCTCCCCTTTCACACCACCCCATCATCTTACTTAAGCAGCTTGTAGTAGGCAAAGCGGAACACCTCCTGGAGGAGGACAGAGACAGCAGCACCAAAAATCAGGAGGCCGTACTGGAGCCGAGCATCTGATCGGTCTGTCACATGGACCAATATGAACCAAACCACAGAGGCCAGGAGCAGGGAGACCAGCCAGAAAAATGCCCTGAGAAAAGACAAGGGCAATGAGACAGGCGAGGGTGGGGGCGGCCAGAGAAACCAAGGCAGGGACTCAGCCAAGGCTGCGTCCTGAAAAGTGGAGGTCAGACTTCTGCATGGTCAGGGAGCCAGGGACCAGAGTCTCCAGCAAGGGCTTCATCTGCAGGAATCTGGACCAGGGGTAAGGGTAGAAATCTGATTAAAGAGTCTTCAGAGCGATGGGAGGCGGCGTGTGCGTCCACGGAAGAGGGAGGTATCCACTCCTAGGTCCTCCCCTAGGGCACCTGACTTGGCCGGCCGAGGTCAGCACAGCCCCCTCGCGAGCCTCGGCCTTCGGCCTCTTCTGACGTCGTGGGAGGAATCCCTGGAAGGCGGAAATCAATTGCCGGAAAAGGCAAATCATTCAGATCCACGACCTGACCCTGAACAACCTTCACCTCCGATTTCTCTCCCCCAACTCAGGCTCCCAGGTTCGCCCCAGTTCCTCCAACCCATCCCTCTCTTCGACGCTCTCCCGCGTCTCCCCAGCCCTCTACTCACCCCGCAACCAGGATGATAACGCGAAGAGGGTCCCCAGCCACAGTGATCAAGAAAAGCGCGAAGGCTGGGCCGAACGCAACGAAAGTGCATCCGAAAAACACCGCAGCCCCCATGGCTGGGGCAGCTGGGGGCGGGGTGGAGGCTTGGCCAAGGGAGGCGAATGGGAGGAGCGCGCCAGCTGGGGGAGTCCGCGTGGGGTGGCGACGCGACCCCACGAGGGGCGCGGTGCAATGTCACCCCCGGACCCCGGGGAAGGGGAGGGGGACACCGAAACCCCAGATGAAGGTCCGCGGGACTTCCTCTACGGAAGCCGAGGAGGGGACAAACCCCGGCCGCAGCCCCATGGCCACCTCCCAACTAATCCCCACCCCCGGAAGGCCAATGGAGACTCGTCGGGGGCGGAGCCCAGGGCGGGGGCGGAGCTGAGAGGGCGGAGGCGGTGTGGCTGCGCGGCCTGCTGGGAGTTGTAGTCCCGAGGCTCTCCGCTCCTCTATCTCGTCCGGGGAGCCGATCGAGCCTTTTAAAGGGAGTGGGCCGGAACTGGGCCCGGTCGGGGCACGGACCCCTGGGTTCTGTTGCCCCTTGACCATGGTTTCTTTTGTGGGAAGAGTGGTAGCAAACCTACCTCTTTTTGAAGGGCTGCACGGAGGGGGAAGATCCTGTTTGAATCTAAAGGACAAATACAAAGAGAGCACAGGATAGAGGGTGCAGGGAGATAGGGACGGGTATTGTTCTTACTTGAATGAGAGGAAATGGGCTAGAGTTGCTGCCTACGGGATGAAGGTTAGACTTAAAAGTAGAGGCTCCTTGGACAGGCTAGCATGGGAAACGTGGAGCACGTAGGTCGCTGAGGCACCCTCAGTCTGTGATGACAGAACCGAGAGAAGCCAGAGGAGCCTGGAGCAGAAATGTTAGGAAGCCTTTCAGAGGGAATTCAGAAGTTAAGAGGCATTTGGAGGGGTGGGTTGAAGGAAAATAACAGTCCCTCCTACCCCCAGTCACTCAGTTCCTTTTATGTCATACTTCCTCTATTTATTTTCTGAAAAATGAATCTCAGTGGTGTCTTTTCCTTAGGCTGCAGAGAGGGTGAAAGAGAAACAGAAAAAAGAGAGAGGGAGAAACAAAATAGGAGAGGGGAATCATTTGGATGGTGAGGGGTTGGCTGTTAGGGAAGCTGCTTAGGCAAAAAGAGTCCTAGAATAGAATGAGGAAACACTAGGGAATCTGGAATGTTGTTTTTGAAAGTGTAACCAAAGTACAAAAAAAAAAAAAAAAAAAAGCTCCTATAGAAATTGTTCCTGTAAGAATCCTATAAAAGAGAACCAGGCTTCCTTTCCATTCTGGAAGTGATTTACGATCTCATGCGTTAAGAGTACACCCACGTAGCTGTTTTACATTTTTTCCCAGGAAATTCTGAAAAGGAACTGAGGAATAAATCATATAGATTTACATGCTGGCAAATGCTCAAGACTTCAAGGTGTCCTGTTTCCAAGTCCAGCAGGCTGAGTTGGGGAGAGAGGGATGAGGCACCTCTTGCATCTCCACTGACCTGTGACCACAGCATCTTCCGACTGGTGTGAATGGGTTCTAAACCCATCTTGTTTAGACTTGCATAGTGCCTCATACTCAATATTGAACATATACTTATGAGCTCCCTTAAAAAGACAAAAATCTGTGTCCTTGCCCCAGGCCTGGGAGCTCTGAATTGCTTCTGACCTGAATGAAAACCAGAAATTCTGAAGCAGAGGGGGAGCCAGCAATTAGCCAAGAGTCACGTCAGAGTACCTGGGTCCCATTCCCAGCTCTGGCTCCTGACTCCCCTTCTTGCCAATGCAGACTGTGGAAGGCAGCAGTTGGCACTTGGTATCCAGCCACCCCCACAGGAGACTTGGATTGTTGGACTCTCAGCTTCTGACCAACCTAGCACTGGCTATTACAGGCATTTGGACAGTGAACCAGCAGTTGGGGGCCCTTACCCGGTCTCTCTGCCTGAATGAAGGGGTCACACCAGGTGACTGGATGTAGGGGGTGGGGCATGGCCACCTACAGCAGGGAGAGAAACTGCTTTCTCCCTTCTTCCATCCTTTGTCAGAGAAGTTTAGAGGTGAGGTGAGGTCAGCACTCAGCAGAGAGGAAATAACTGGCCTTGGCTGAGAGATTTTTATCAGAAGCAATGCAGCAGGTGCTTTGAGACTCAAACAACAATGTATAAATGCCTTTCCCATCCTCTATAGCCAAGACAGACACAGGACAGGGGACTATTTTCAGTCTAGAAGAAGGCTCACCCTTACTGCAAACATTTCCACCGAAATGGAAGAGGCTGCACCGTGGCTCGGGGAGGACAAGTCTGGACAGTGATGGTCAGTTAGGCACGTGAGAGGGAGCCTGGGCTTTTCTGAGGACTGGGAGGGACGCTGGAAAGGAAGGAAGAGGGGAAACTTCTTGGTAGGCTTTTTTGGGGGGAGGTAGTGGCAGTGGAAGTCCTGAATGGATGGAATCCACGGCTGGGGGAGCTCGCGAAAATCCTCTTTGCCTCTTTCCCATCGGAGGAACAGCTCTGGCCAAGGACCGGTAGTAACTGAAGATGTAGTCTGCGAGTAGGCGGAGAATTCCGCCCCCTGGGAGCAGAGTGGCCAAGCTCCCTCCCAGCCTCCAGGAGCGGGGGAGGCGGGCTGAGTTTGGTGGGAAACGTTGTAATTTCCTTTTTTTACTTTCACGGGCGAGTGTGCAAAATCCAGAATGGATGTCCTCTTTGTAGCCATCCTTGCGGTGCCACTTATCCTGGGTAAGTCCATGTCTCTCTGCAACTTTTGCTGCAGATCTTCTACCATAAATTGGGTGGGGGGAAAGGGAATAAAAAGTGAGGAGAGGGCGAGAGGTGGATTGTGGTAGGGAGTCGCCGTGCTTTCTCATCTGTGCCAGAGTCCACGGTTGGGGGCAGAGTGGAGATCTGGGCAGCTGAGCCAGGCAAGGAGCAGGAGAGCAGAATCCTTGTGTCAAAGGCGAGAAGGCTGATGGAGGATGGAGCCCCAGACGCGGGAAGGGCCTAGCAAGACTGAACTCAGCTCTCCATCACCACAAAGTTGAACAAGAGAGGGATAACACGGGAGTGAAGGAGGGGGGGCATCTAGGAAGGGGAAGGCGGGGTCCCTCCTTGTCCAGAGAGTTGGAGAGAGAACTTGTATTAGTAAGAATGTGGCCGTCGACGGGGGGGCTGGCTTTCAGGGTTTGGAAAACCAGCTGCCATCAGTGACAGTGTCCCAAGAGTGGCTTGGCTCCTTCCCTCCTTTGTTCCCTAGTCTGCCAGGTGTGTCTCATTGTTTCCTTTTCCTCTGGATTCTTGTGTCATAAGTGTTTGGAGGGAAAGCAAGCAGGGAGTTCTGGGAACTTTTTAGCAGGAGGCCTGGAGTTCTTGATTCCCTCATTTCAAAGCCACATATTTTTAGTTCTGGAAAGGAAGAAAAACTAATGGAGATGGGTCATTTAGTTCAGCTGACTCATTTTAAGAAAGCGGATGTCAATGGCTTGTTCAAAGTTCTTCTCCTAGTTAGCAGTGAGGCTGCACTAGAACTCCAATCCAAATGCCTGCGGGTGTGTGTCTCTTCCTGGTGACAGACACTGATAGGAGAAGGACTCTCGCCAGCACAGTAAAGTGTGCAGCCCACCCAGCAGAAGATGTGGTGTTTTTAACTTCTGGTCTCGCTCCTCCTACTTTTCTTAGGTTTAGTTTTCCCTTTGGGTTTATGGTAGGTGAACAGACCTGTTTTCTGTTCTGGGAGTTGCCGGGTTGAAAGGCCTCATTACAGACCCAGAGCTGCGAAGACTGAGAAAGGTTTAGGGGTGCAGAGGCAGGGAGTGAACCCGACCGTTGGAGGAGAGGCAGCAAGCGAGCAAGCCTGTAGAGCTGGTGTCAACTTCAGATGTCCTGTGGTTGCCAAGGCGTTCCAGATGCTGGACCTATGGTTCTTGTGCCAATAGGACAAGAATATGAGGACGAAGAAGGACTGGAAGAAGAGGATTATTATCAGGTGGCCTATTATTACACAATCACCCCCAATTATGGTGAGTACGTGAAAGGCTCTGACTACTGGGGGGTGGAGAGGGGCTTTGGGGAAACTTAGCTTTGAGACTTTGCCCTTTGCTTCGCAACAAACTGGGCCAGGGAGAAATCTGGCTATGAACAAAATCTGTCAAGACTCAGGATGCTATTTTTCAGGGGAATGCCTTAATTCTTTGGAAAATGGCTGAAACCACTTGACATTTTTCAAATTTGTAAATGATTTTAGATACCAGATTGAAAATATACAAGCATACAAATTCACAAACAGTTTTGACATTAAAGTTCATTAGAGTTGAATTATACCAATACATTTTACAACCTGAGCAAATCAAACTATTCTAAACAGGTTCTTCCCCTTTCATTTCTGGATCTGGAGTTGCCCTGCTCCTTGGTTACTACTGATTTTTTTTTCTCCTCCACAGATGACTTTGGTGTGAATTTCACCATTGATTACTCCACGTTTGAGCTGGAGGACAGGTTGGTGAGTGACCTCTACACTCCCAACGGTCAGGATACATCACAGTTGCAAAGAAACTGGGCCACGTTAAAATGTAACTGATTATCAGGAATAGGAATGGTTTTTAGATGAAGAGAAACTAGGAAGTGGGTCCAGAACAAATCTGTGAATCATAGCTGGGAAGGAAGCAGATCTGCTGAGACACTGAGGAGGGGGTGGTTCTTGAGCCAAGGGGCGAGGGGGCTGGGAGGGGTCCAGGGTGCAACGAACATGGGATAGGGAGGGTCTCTGGCCTTAACCAAGTCTTTGTGGGGGGGGGGGGGTCAAGGGGTGAACTCTGCATGGAGATCCCTAAGGATGCTGGATGGAGATAATTCTGTTTCCTAATCCTCCTGAGAACAGGGCACATTAGATAAGGAGGTGACAACAGAAGCAGTAGAAACCACCATTAGTCTTGGGACAGAAGGCGCAGACCACACGAAGCCTGTAACTGTGAAACCAACAACAATGGATACAGTGAAACCAGCAATGATGGATACAGTAAGTTGACTGGGAGATGGGTGGAAGAGAGGAGATATCCCTGAGCCATGGAGGTGGAGAAGCCAAAGGGGTGGCCTGGCAGGCCCCGGTGGAACTAAATAACTCCACTACATTGCAGGTTTTCATTTCAACTTGGCCATGATATCTTCCCCTGAGATTTAATGCCAACCTTAGATAGAAAACACTGGAAAAACTGGGTTCACTTAAATTTCAGTTTGATAGTACTTGCTATATAGTATAACCTATTCCTGCGGCTGCAAGGGTGCTGATGCTGATAAAAAAAATAAAAGAAAGAAATCTTTGATTCTGTTACTGCCCTCAAGGAATTTACAAAACTGGAGTTCTCTTTTATAAAGCATTTAGAACAAAATGAAAAAGCATGTTACTCATAAGTTTGAGAGTATACAACACAGGTAAGTGCTTTAGCCAGTGAAAGGAGAGAGGCCAGCATAGACTAATGTGGGAGGAGTTTAGGAGGTGATTATGCTTGAGATTCACCTTGAGGAACAGATGAGCTTTTGATTGGTGGGAAGTTATGAAAGGATGGAAGCGATCAGGAGGAAAAATACAAGAGTGAAAGAGCTGACCAGGCGATGGGCACAGAACAAGCTTGGTAGACAGTGGAGAGGGTGCAACTGAGGGAAACTGTAGAGGGCAACACTAGGAAATTGGGGGGAAAAATCAAAGTTTTACATTTGAAAATTTAAAGATACTTTTTAAAAAATATTTATTTATTTATTTATTTGAAAGGCAGAGTTACAGAGAGGCAGAGACAGAGAGAGAGAGAGGTTTTTCCATCCACTAGTTCACTCCCCAGATGACCACAATGGCTGGAGCTGTGCCATAACGAAGCCAGGAGCCAGGAGCTTCCTCCAGGTCTCCCACACGGGTGGCAGGGGCCCAAGCGTCTGGGCCATCTTCTACTGCTTTCCCAGGCCAGAGCAGAGAGCTGGATCTGAAGTGGAGCAGCCGGGTCTCGAACTGGTGCCCATATGAGATGCTGGCACTGCAGGTGCCAGCCCCTAAAGATGCATTTTTAAACATTCAGGCAGCAGTTGTCGGCCCCTGCCTGACCAGCCTGCCCACTGCTTCCTTGTAGCATATTCAATAAATTTAGCTCCACCAAAAACCAATAATAAAATAAAAATATTTGCTTGGTAATTTCACATATAGCAAGATAGGGCCAAATTCTAGTCTGAAGTGTCAGGCTGAAGTATGAACTAATGAGCAACAGGGAGCCTAGTATGTTCTTCAGAGTGGTAAAGACAGGATGAACAAAACCGTTCATCTCATTGTAGGCAGGATGCAATTCAGTGGCGACAGATGCATGAGATTTGCCTTGTTCCAGAAACAATCTGGGAAAGGCCTAGACTTCAGGACTGGCATTATGAATGGAGGGGCAAAAAATAAGAAATATTTTGAAGGAAGTGTCATGCTTAAGTGAAGAATAAATGAAGAGAGTTAAAGTAACTTACTGGTTTTAAACACGGGTGTCTGGGAAAATGGCCAAAATGTGAACTGCGGGTGGCCAGGGTGGTTTATGAGGGACGTTAGGAATTTGGTAGCTGAATTTATGGTGACAACCCTATTAGGGTGTCTTCAAGGTAGTTGAACTGGGTCAGGGTTGGAATTCTAAGTACAAAGTGACAATTACAAAAGTAAATGCACTCAGCTGAGCCAGTACACAGAGAAAACCAGAGGCCAGCGAGTGTGCCTGCAGTTATAGAAGGAAGAAGAGGAATGAAACAAGGACATGGAGAAGCAGTGACCGGAGGGTAGGCAGATAGTGTGTATTATAGGGCCTGAACCAGAAAGTTTATTACAACCAATCAAAACCCACCAAGAAGCTACGGAGGGTGTCATGGGTAACCCCCACGAAGGCAGTTCTAGCTGAGTGGCTGGAGAAAAACTGGATTTTGTGGAGGTGAAGAGGGGGTACATCATGAAGAAATGGAGACAAGAACAGACAAACAAGTGAAAAACATGGTAAGGAAAAACGAGAAGCAGCAGCTGGAAGGGCAACAGCCCCCCAAGCAGCCTGGAGGGAACTGGATGCAGATGGGAGGAGCCAGCAGGTATCAAAAGCAGAAGATTGACAGGAGGGACAGTTGTACATTCCCTGAGGACAGAAATCATGTCTTTTTGCTACTCCCTCTGTGGCACCTAGCACAGTGACCAGCATAGTGGCGTGCATAGGACAGATTTTTAACAATTTCATTGAATTGAGCCGGGGACTCCCTGGCATAGTCAGGGATGGAGGAAAGGCGTGGAGGAAAGGACTCCCAAAGTGAGGGGGAGGAGGGCTGGCCCACAAAAAAGAGGTGGCCCTCCTTCTGGGGCTGTGGGGAGGGGTAGGAAGGAGGACACTGGCCTACTGTCAGAGATGTCTGTATTTTAGCAGAGTCCAGTTCTGGATGGTGCTGTGTCCGGTCTGCGGAACCCTGTTTCCCTCCTCCTGCCGTGCATCCTCGTTCAGGGAGGGATGTATTTCATGTAGAAGGTGAGACTACAGCCACTGGCCTTGGCCCAGTGTGAGGAGTCATTCCAACCAGGATCTCTGGTTTCTTGCCTGATCCATTCTGAGCTGATTCAAGCAGGGGAAGAGGGGCTGTGTTTAGGAAAAATCTTAGAGTCCTAAAGTTGGGATGTTGGGGCAAAGCCTTTTGTGGTAAGAGTCATGAATTTTTCTGAACTGGGAGGCCCTCAGCAGCTCTAGGAGCAGAAGCAGGTGGAATAGAGAAAAAGCCCCAGGGTTTCGATCTGTGTTGAGGAATCAGAGCTGCTTCCAGCCTGGCCTTATTTCAAGGCAGGTAGGTGCCAGAGGGCAAAATGGGTGGGTCCTACAACCTGGTAGAGATCAGGAGGCAAAGTTCAGAGGCAGAAGGAAGTGGCAGTTCTCAAATGTACAGGAACATTGTGGAGAAAAGAAGGGAAGAAAAGCTGTATTACAGAGAAAGAATTTCTAAATAAGTATGGTGGGTGAAGCGATTTAACAGGAGGAAGGAGGAGAGGAGGGGATGAGTCTTTCCCAGGAGATATCTCAGGGAAATCCCAGCTCAGAATATGAAGTCTGGGGGTTTTCATATGGGTGTGTGGCACGGAGGGATTTTCTGGGTCCCTTGACTCTGGCTGTCTCCCCCTCCCTCTTCCTTTGCTTTTTTTTTTTTTTTTCCTTAGGTGAGAGAATGCTGCTATGACTCTTTGGATGGGGGCCTGGCAAGAGAAAATTGGAAGATAAAATATATAATAAATGAAATAATCTGGTTACTGTCTATGCCTTGATGGAAGTCTGTTCTAAAATCACAGCACTCAAAGGAGCACCAGGACTTGGGGGCGGGAAGGGTGGGGTCCAGAGGAGATGATGACACTGGAAGTGGACGGGAACTAGGACTGTAAATAGGAGGGGAACTATGGGCTGGAATAAACTTGGAATCTTGTGAAGAATGGAGACGAGTCACAGACAACAGGCTGTCTCACAGCTCACAATGCCACTGTTTTATCTTATTAGATATGGTACTGAGATTGTGTATTTTGGAGAAACAGGCTTAAGGTTTATTTATAAACCTTGTTTCTTCTTATAAAACAAGAATGTTGTTAAACACAGATGAGAGATAGAGAAAATATTCACCCCACCCCATGTCCAACAATGTACCTCCCGCAGTTAGTAACTACGGCAGGGATATACACGCGTAATTTTTAAAAAATTATTTATTTTTAAAATTCTCTATCCTCCGGGCCCTACTCAGAACTGGACTGCCCCCTTGCGGGCGCTCCGATGTCACATCTCGAACCACGGAGTCCCCGGGCCCCGCTCTCCTTCGCCCCATCGCACCCCTTAGATTACTGCCAGGGGTAACGAATCAGCGACCTTCCAGTTACTCCACACTCTGGACTTGCTGCCCTCAGGCCTTCAAAGCCTTTCGACTCTTCTCCAGGGAGTCAATGAAGAAAATGTAGTTGGACAAAGCGAAAATGGAGATCAGGGACCTACCCCCACGCCGTTCCCTGTGCTCAGAATCAGGATTTCGAGCGCCGGGCCCGCGGAGCCCGGGCCGAGAAGTCAGGAACCACCGAGACCGGCTTTGACCTCCAGAGTCGTGGCGGGCTGGCATCCGAGCTGGTAACGTGCGTGGCAGGTTATGTAAGGAGAGGGCTGGAGGAGCCGCCCCAGCGGGAGCCCGGGAGAGGACTCGGTGTTCTCGGCCGCAGTCCCCACCCTCTTCACCCAGCGGGGCAGGAGGCACCCGACTTAGAGGAGGAGGAGGAAGGGAGGGTGACTCCTCGGGGAGTCACGAGGGAAGGGCCGCCCGGGGAGGCAGCGGATGCACAGTGTCACACATCCATTCTCCCGCACACGTTGCAGACTCCAGGCACTGCGGGTTTCCACGTGCTGCGCTCGTGAGCGGAGGCGCTCGGAGGGCGCAAGAGTTGGGTCCGGAGGCGGAACCGGGGGCTCCCCCGGCCGGGGCACGCGCCTCCAGCCGCACCACCAGTGTCTGAACACCCGAGCCATGTGTCTCCCGCGCATCACCATCCTATTTAAGGCCACCGGCTCCGCCCTTACCCCTCACCCCCACCCCGCTTCCTCCTTTTCCACTCTGTCTCCAGCCTCCTCCTTTTCTCATCACCGGGTCCTCTCCGGGAGCCGCATGTGGGGGCGGAGCACGGAATGCTGCCCTTCCAGCCAATCGCCACGCGGCTGCTTCTCCGTTGGCCAGGCCCCTGGCTGCCGCAGCAAATGGACTGTGGACTTTGCTAACGAGAATCACGTGTTCCCGGACGGACGGCCAATGCGGGCGCGAGATCTGTGTACGCAGGGGGAGGCACGTGCCGAGCTGCACGTGTCTGGGAGGGGGGAAGGGGCGGGACCCGCGGAGAGGGAGCCGGAGGAGGGTTGCCAAGACCGGCAGGGACTGAGAAGGAGCCGAAGACAGAGCCTGAGCTGAGTCGGCCGACCCAGGTAAGGGGACTCGGAGGACGAAAGGCAAGCTGCCGGGGAGGGCTGGACGGAGGTCCTGGTTTTAGGAGGGATTGCATCACCTGGCAGGCGCGACCAGAGGGGGACCGGCGTAGGGATCCCGCTCAGCGAGGGTGGGAAAGGGCAGGAGGCCAGGCTCTCTGGGGGGCGGTTCCTGGAGGGACCCTGGAAGGGTCCGGATGCCCAGATTCCACCGCTCCGCTCGCCGTGGGTGCAGGCTGAGGAACACCGGGCGGAGGGGAAGATGTCAAGTCGGGTTCTACCCTGAACTGACGGCAGAAAAGAACAGGTTGTGTCAGACTGAGACCCGATCTGCAGGGGCCAGGCAGGCACTCCCGGTGTGTTGATGGGCGGAGGTGGGGGCGGGGGAGATGCCTTTTCCTATTGTTTCTGAGACGGGTTATACTGCGGAGCGAAGAACCCCGTGCAGTACACCCCAGTCCTTTTGACTCTGATCTCAGATCCCTCGCTTTGCTCTTCAGTTGCAGGTTCCGATCTTTGGGTTCCTCCAGGAGCTGCTCTCCTGCCCCTGCTTCTGGACCTATGGATTCTCCGTCTAGCGTTTCTTCCTATTCCTCCTCCTCTCTCTCTTCCTCTTTTTCCACCCCCTCAGTGAACAGTGACTTTGGCTTTCCCTCCGACAGTGAGAGGGAGGACAAAGGGCCCCATGGGCCCAGGCCAGACACTGTTGGGCCCAGGGGAGTTGCTCGACCCAGCCCAGGTCCTATCCGCTGCAAGCATCGACCCAAGGTTTCCAGTAACCAGCATACAGCATCTCATCCCGAGCAGCGGGGCTTGGCTTCTCCCCTGGCAGGATCTGGCGGCAAAAGATCAAGAGATGGTGAATCGGAGACCAGTCTAAACATCCAGGGTTGCACCACAGAGGGAGACATGCTCTTTGCTCAGAAGGTAAGAGAAAGCAGGAGAAATGAGATAGTGCTGGGGTGGCTAGGCACCCGGTTGGTTGATAAGGACGCGAAAAGCATAGGCTTCCAGATCTGGAGTGCAGGAAGAATCACTACTGGCCTGAGCAATTCTTGGTCTCCTCATAGCTTCTGTCCTGGCTTCTTACAGTGTAAAGAGCTCCAAGGATTCATACGCCCCCTCACAGACCTACTCAACGGGCTGAAGATGGGTCGCTTTGAGAGAGGTAATGATCTGATTGGTTGCATTCGTTTGGACTAGGTTCCTACCCTCTCCCCTTTTAAATGTGTATTTTCTTAAGTTTTTGGTGCCTGTATTTTTATTTTTTTATTTTTTTACTTTTTGACTTACTTCCAATGAATCAACTTCAACCTCCTGTTCTTCCTTTATCCAACTACCGGTTTGGATCCCAATCCTTGATCTCTCCTCCTCCTGATTTCAGGATTGAGCAGTTTCCAGCAGAGTGTGGCAATGGACAGGATCCAACGTATCGTAGGTGTTTTACAGAAGCCACAGATGGGGTAAGTCCCCTTAGCTCTTTCCTCAGTACCTCATATACCTCATACGTGGAGATCTCTCCACTTCTGTCTTTTCTCACACTTAATGGCTTTCTAAGAATGTCCTTTTCACAGGGAGCGTTATCTAGGAACCCTGCTTCAAGTAGAAGGAATGTTAAAGACTTGGTTTCCTCATATAGCTGCGCAGAACTCACCCCTGGGTGGAAGCAGGCATCAGCTAACCAAGGTAAGAACTGACAACTGGAGGAAGTGGCAGGACAAAACCAAGGAAATGAAGTGTACACACAGAAATGGGCTCTCCATTCCATCCTCTCTGTCCTCCCACCCCTAAGTTTCTTTTCAGGAAAGGGAGTGCCTAAACTTCCTGCATTGTCTTGAAGGACACTGCATTCCCACATGTGTTTTGTTCTACTTTGTTTGGATCACTGGGGAAAACTATGAAAGTTAATACTACCCCTCATGTTGCAGCCAGTCTGCTTTCTCTGTCTCCTCAGAAGCCTTTCGCTTGGCAAACTGACTGATATAGGAAGGTGCCTCTGCTTCTCTCTGCAGTTCCTTTCTGCCCTGTTGCCGCTAAAACTTCCTTCTCCCTCCTCTCACTCTTGCCTAATTATCCTTGCACCAAACTATCTGGAAGCCTATGAGTTTACACTGAGTTTCAAGAATTGGTCTTAAGAGGTACATCACTGAGGGTGGGGGAGAATGCACCCATGGGGGAAGGTTGAGTAGATTTCTTTGACCTGGTGTGGAAGTGACCTATTTTCTGGCTCTTCAAATAATAGGGCATTTAGTGGACATCCAAATAATAGAGAGAGGAGAGACGCCTGTAGATAATGGCCAGTCCGTGTTTTCAGTCAACCAGTTACTGCTGTTGAGAATAACCGACTAAAATATAAGCAGCAGGGTCTTGCCTATTAATTTACATATTTTGAATATCTTATTGTAGAAAATTAGAACTTAAAATACAGAGCCTGGGAAAAAGATGTTTCCAATTAAGAATAGGCTTTTCTTTAAGGAAATTCTAAAAAAGGAATTATTTATAAATAATGAAGCCCAATGGGACTCTTTGTTTTATTCTGTTAATCTTCTGACTATCCAGTGCCTAATGTAGTATGTAGTACATAAGTAGGCCCTCTACCATGTGTTGAATAAATGAAAGTATAATTTGATTACTAAAAAATTTTACTTAATCCCAGTCTGGCAAGAACATGTCTGTTACATAAAACAAGGTATGTTTGCATTGCAAAGGAGAGCAAAGGTTTAAGCAACCAGCTGGAGGTAAAATCTGAACATGTTCTTCACAGTTTGTTTCTCACTTACCCCCTCTCTTAGCATCTGTCAGGCCTTCACAGTGACTCAGCTGCTTCCTCTCCTGCACTTCCAGTGGAAAAGATGGGCCACACGCAGCTAGAACATCTGGTTTTGAAACAGCCTTGGCACCTCACAGAATGGCCAGCTATGAACCTCACCTGGATCCACACCACTCCCATCTGCAACCCCCCTCTAAGTTCCCCAGGTACCATCTCCTTTAGCCATGGTCCTTTAGGCACTGGAACCAGCATTGGTGTCATTCTTTTGCTCCAGCATGGAGTGCAGCCCTTCACCCACTCTGCCCCAGCCACTCCAGTTCCACCTACTATAGCATCTCCTGCCAACCCTGGTGAGGCTAAGAACCTATCTGGAGAGGGGCCTCGTTGTCACAGTTTGCCAGTAACTCTGTCATCAGACTGGGGCTGTACCCCCTCCTCTCCTGGTCTACCCAGCGTGGCCAAAGAGACAACCATAGGACACTCAGAGCAGCCGATGGGAAGCCATCCTCCAGTTGTTCCTGATTCCTGTCTCAACCCCTAACACAGGGCATGTAACCAGCCTCTGGAATTTCTATTTTTTGTAAATATATGTATCTATGTTTTTTACTTTCAATGTGTGATTTGTGTTGAAGGAAGAAAAAACCTTTCTGATTAAAGAATTTTTACTTAAACAGTTTGCTGCCTCAAGTACCCGTCTCTATCCTCAGAGCTACAGAAAACAAGAGGGAAGGGAATGTTCGCAAACATGGAGCTCCCCCAAGTCAGAGTCTGGATGGGACAGTGTTAAGTGCTGCGAGAGAAAGGGGAAGGGAAGTACCCTTGGGACAGTCACAGGGCTCAGAGTTGGACTGAGTTTTTGTTCAGGCTCAGAGACTAGTACCTTTCCCTTTGTGTCCCGCCCCTGTGTAACTTTCCAGCTGGCCCAGACTAGCAGGTTCTTCTGCTCTGAGATCACTCCTTGCTTCTTTGAGAGCTGTTAACACTTGTGGGTAAATGCATACATACCTTCTGTGTCAGACGAGGGGCGCAAGAGCCAAAGCAGCTCCTGTGACAGCCAGTTTTGAAGAGGGAGGGATGCCCTAGAATTGCAGAGTTGGGGGTGCTCAGACACAGGACTTCATCCTTATTCAAAAACCTGCAGCTGCTAGACATACGCTAGACTAAGGAGACAAAAATGTAGTCCATGAATGTATCTCTACGACTTCCTGTGTATTTTTCTGACTTATCCCACTTTCTACCCAAAGCATTTTCCCTCCTCTCCTAAGCCTGTGTAGTGCATCAGACCAGTCTGCCATCCTAGCCCCTGCTTATTGGCTCCTTGGCCTGTTTCTCATAGCTAGTCATCCATCATTCCCCCATTTTTCACGTCCTGTTTTCAGTGAATGACTGTCTTCCTTTATTTCTGAGAGTATGACCTTCTTTCTAAGGAAAACCTCTCCATTTGTGCCTTTGATTCTCTCACTTGTGAGACTTCTGCTGTGGCACATATCCTTTCTTATGTCGTAACTCCAGTCTGTTCCCCATAGTGCTAACATTTCTCCAGGAAGTGGAATTAGGTCCCCCTTGAGAACGTCTCAGCCTCACTGGCCCCATTCTCTTCTGTTCTCTATAATTCTTTACATATGCTTTCTGGTTCCCTTCTGACACTCAATCGTTAACACCTTGCAGTCTGTCACACTGCTGCACCTTCCAAAGTCACTAATGATCCCACAGAACCAGTGTAATGCAGCTCACACCCAATCGCCAGCTCAGCCCAGGGACCCTCCCGGAGGCTATGTACTCGATGCTCCCTGTATCACCTGACACTGCTGATACTGCCTGCTGAAACTCTCCTCCAGTGGATCCTGTGACAGCAGCCTACCCCGATTCTCTTCTTACCTATCTGGGAGCAACTAACAGTTCTCTAAATGGCCTCAACTTCTGCCTACTCCCGAGCATGGGTGTTCCCTTAGGCTCAGGCCTTGGCCCTTTTCTCTGACTGTTCTTTCACTTGCAAGTTTCCTATTCTTCCCTGGCTTTAATTATTGCCTCCACTTAGGTGACTGCTAAAACTTCATCTCCCGGCCCAACCTTCCCCTGAGATGGCATATTAAAGGTTTAAATTTCTGCGGGGCAGTTTTATTTACATATTTCATTAAAAAAACTTATTTATTTGAAAGGCAGAGTGACATAAAGAGACAGAGAATTAAGAGATCTTGTATCTACTGGTTGACTTCCCAGATGGCCACAATAGTTGGTTCTGGGCCAGGCTGAAGCTCAGGACCTCCATCTGGGTCTCCCACATGGGTGGCAGGGCCCAAATACCCAATTCATCATCTGCTGCTTTTTCAGGTGCATTAGCAGGTAGCTGGATTAGAAGCAACAGTTTTGAACCTGTGCTCCAATATGGGATACGAGTATAACAAGCAATGACTTAACCCATTGTGCCACAATGCTGACCCCTATTTATATATTTGACACTTTAAACTCATTGAAAATTTCAGTGTTTTAGAGCCAAGGCATTTTTGTAAATAATTCAACCCAATCTCCTCATTTTATAGATGACTTGAACTATAGAAACTTAGGTGATTTGTTCAAGGTAACAGAATATGTAATACAGGATTCTTGGGTTTCCAGGGTGGTGCTTTTTCCAAGAGCATCTGTTAAATTACTCTTGGCTTTAAACATGTTCCCCTCTGCTTTTTTACAGTCTCCTTTTCTATTAGTGCTGTATACAGAATCATCATTTCTCTAGAGAAACAGGCTTCAAAGTTGGTGCTGTTTGGTCGCCAAATCCTTTCTATTCTTTATTTGGAATATCTCTTAAAGTCTATTTCTTCCTACCCATTCCACTGCTGTAACTCTGGTCTAGACTTTCACTATAGCAATAGTCTCTCTTCCCTCTAGTCTCTCTTGCCTTACAACTAGATTAATTTTTCTAATACAGTGCTTTGCATGTCTGTCCCTATTCAAATTCTCCAAAGGCTCCCCACGGTTTTGAGGAGAAAGTCCAAATTACCTAGTCCCTCTTCTCTGTATAATTCCTTTGTTCTAGTTTCTTTAAGATTTTATTTCTTTGAGAGGTAGAATTACAGACAGAGGGGCCGGCGCTGTGGCACAGGGGTTAACGTCCTGGCCTGAAGTGCCGGCATCCCTTATGGGTGCTGATTTGAGTCCCAGCTGCTCCACTTCCTATCCAGCTCTCTGCTATGGACTGGGAAAGCAGTGGAAGATGGCCCAAGTGCTTGGGCCCCTGCACCCACGTGGGAGACCTGGAAGAAGCTCCTGGCTCCTGGCTTCAAATCGGCACAGCTCCAGCCATTGTGGCCAACTGGGGAGTGAACCATCAGATAGAAGACCTCTCTCTCTCTCTCTCTCCGCCTCTCCTCTGTGTAACTCTTTCAAATAAATAATTTTTAAAAATTACAGAGAGAGGGAGATACAGAGAAAGGTCTTCTATCTGATGGTTCACTCCCCAAATGGCTACAATGCCTGGAGCTGAGCCGATAAGAAGCCAGGAGCCAGGAGCTTCTGAGTCTCCCATGTGGGTGCAGGAGCCCAAGTGGGTCATCATCTACTGTTTCCCAGGCCATAAACAGAGAGCTGGATTGGAAGAGGAGCAACCAGGACAAGAACTGGTGCTGATATGGGATGCTGGCACTGTGGCTGGAAGGAAGCTTAGTCTACTATGCCACAGTGCCGGCCCCAACTAGTTTATTTAAATATATTATTTTTATTTGAAAGGCACAGAGAGGGAGAGAGATCAATCGAGATCAATCTTCCATCTGCTGGGTCACTCCCCTAAATGCCAGCAACACATAGGGCTGTGCCAGGTTGGAACTAGGAGCCAGGAACTTCATCTGGGTCTCCCTTGTGGGTGACAGGAACCCAAGCACTTGAGCCTTCATCTGCTGCCTCCCAGGCACACTAGTGGGAAGCTGGATCAGAAGTAGAGAAGCGAGGACTTGAACAGGCACTGTAGTATGTGACTTGGGAGTCACAGGCAGCAGCATAATCTACTGCACCACAATGCCCCCTTCCAGTTTTTTTTTTTTTAATTCATCCTGAACACTGTAAGCCTTTTTGCCTTGAAACTCTTTCTCATATTAACTTGTCAAGCCTTTTTGTTTCTGTTATCTAAACTCTTTCAATGACTAACTCATGTCCCTCTCCTTTTTTTTTTTTTTTTATTTATTTATTTGAAATGCAGAGATACAGAGGACAGGGAGAGACAGAGAAATCTCCCATCCACTGGTTCACTCCCCAGATGGCCACAATGGTTGAGACTGGGCCAGGCTAAAGCCAGGAGCCTGGAACTCCAACCAGGTCTCCCACATTGGTGGCAGGGGTCCAAGCCCTTGGGCCATCCTCTGCTGCTTTCCCAGGCACATTAGCAGGGAGCTGGATCAGAAGCAGCAGGCGGACTGCAACTGGCACGCACATGGGATGCTGGCGCCGCAGGCAGCAGTTTAACCTGCTGTGCCACATCAGTCCCTATCCCTCTCATTTTATTTTTTTAAAGAGTTATCTATTTATTTGAAGGGCAGAGTTACAGAGAGGCAGAGAGACAGAGACAGAGAGAGAGGTCTTCCATCTGCTGGTTCACTCCCCAAATGGCAGCAACGGCTGCAGCAGATCCGAAGCCAGGAGCTTGGAGCCTCTTCTGGGTCTCCCACACAGGTACAGGGGCCCAAGCACTTGGGCCATCCTCTACCGCCTTCCCAGGCCATAGCAGAGAGCTGGATCAGAAGTGGAGCAGCTGGGACTCGAACCAGTGCCCATATGGGATGCGAATGCTACAGGCAGAGGTTTAGCCCACTGTGCCATAGCACCGGCCCTTATTTTTTCTGTTAAATATGACATATAGGTACTCTTTGGATCTTTATACTATCAAATGGTATCATATATATACATATATATATATATAGTATAGAGTTTGGTATACAGTAGGCTCTCAAAAATGTTACTTTTCCCTGTCATTTCTTTCAAAGTATCTTCATATTGTATCCCATTTGATTCCTATGACAAATTTTGTGAGATCAAAAGTGCAGATACTAGTCCTATTTTACAGATGAAGAAACAGACTGAGTTTAAATCTAGCAAGGGCCAGATAGTAAATATTTTAGGTTTTATAGGCCACACATCTCTGTTGCAACCACCAACTCTCTGCTTGTGTAATTCAAAGCAGCTGCATGTAATACTGAAGCAAAGGAGTTTGACTGTGTTCCAATAGTTTTATTTACAAAAACAGGTGTTGGGGCCGGCGCTGTGGCATAGGGGGTAAAGCTGCCGCCTGCAGTGCCGGCATCCCATATAGGTGCCAGTTCGAGTCCCACCTGCTCCACTTCAGATCTCGCTCTCTGCTATGGCCTGGGAAAACAGTAGAAGATGGCCCAAGTCCTTGCACCCTTGCACCAGCGTGGGAGACCCAGAAGAGACTCCTGACTGCTGGCTTCGGATCGGTGCAGCTCCTGCTGTTGCAGCCAATCGGAGAGTGAACCAGAGGATGGAAGACCTCTCTTTCTGCCTCTCCTTCTCTCTTTCAAATAAATATAAATAAATCTTAAAAAATAAAAATAAAAACGAAACAGGTGTAGCTGGACTGATCCTTCAGTCCAGTAGTTTACAGACCCCTGGTAGTAGTTTACAGGCACTTGTAAACTAGTAGTTTACAGGCAGTAGTTTACAGACCCCTGGTTTAAATGACATGCTCAAGTTCCTATGTCTAATGACTTGCCACCATATTATGCTGTTCCTTATATAATTTATTTCACATTTATTATATGCTACTACCTTGTTTTGCTAGTGGTCTTTATGTCTACATAGTATCTCCTTTTGGTCCAAGAGGTACTGGAATCATATCCACAGTACCTGGCACATTGTAGACACTCACTAAAAGTTCGTTTATAAGCATAATTCTGTCCCAGTCTAGCTTTATTTAGGTTCTTTGGACTTGGTTTACCCTAATGGGGAGAGGAGGCTTTTTGTTTTGGTTAGCATATCCACCTGCGTGTGTTTGGGATGAGGGAATTATGTTCTCACATAGTCACAATATCTGAACTTGTGAGTAACCATTAAGCGGGTATGTAGAATAGCCTACAAGTAAAAGAAAAGGGAGCTTGTCTCCACAGTGAGGAAAAAATAAGAAATATGTTTCTACTGGGTCTCAGCAGGAGGCAACAGCAAAGAAGCTGACGTAAGCGTCTCGGAGCCTAAAGCCTGCAGGTGTTCCACATCTTTAGTGATTTTGCTTTATTTGATGAAATGGCTACGGAGACGACGTCACAGAAAACTCACCGCTGGCTTGTCCCTTTTCCTTAGTTTTTAGACAGATTAGGGAAGTGAAGCTATTTTTGAGAGCCGATCTTAAAGTCTGTGTCCCTTTCAGAGAGAAAGCTGAAACGTGCTCAGGAAGCTTTGCTTTTCTCTCATTCTTCCATCCAGAAAAAGAAAGGCTTCGCTATCTACTAAGGGTTTCATACGATTAAGCGCTATGGAATCGGGCTGACCTCATGGGTCGAAGAACCTGTTTCGGAGGAATCTGAGGCATTTTGTTTTCTCAGGTACGGCGTCTAGGCCCGGGATAAGCAGGGGCAGTCAGCTGAAGCCGCAGAGACCACCGCCGCGGTCTCCCCGCGCAGCTCGTTCCCGGGAGACCCGCGTTGCTCCGCGCCGCGCCGGGGCTTCCGTAGTTTCCGCTTCCGGTCGCGGGCCGGCTGCGGATCGGCGGGGTCCGAGGGCGTTGGGTGAGGAGCTGGGCAGGGGGCGGTGCGGCAGGAGGGCCGGCGTGGCGGAGGGCAAGCCTGCGCGTTGTTGCCCCTTTCCTAAAGAGCCTCTCTCAGCTCCCACGACCCTCCTGGGGCCTTGAGCAGTAGCTGGGGTCGGGGGGCTGCGTCCTGTCCCTGCTGCGCTCGTCCTCCCGTGTGACGCCGTGCAGCCGTCTTTTTTTTTTTTTTTTTCCCTGTGCTAGGGCTTGCTTTTGCAGAGCGCAGGAGTTCTTGATCACGATTCGCGTGTGCTTTCCAAGCTCTGAAGACTTCCACGTGCCGGTCTCGTGTGTCTCTGAGCACGTTGCATATTAAGATACTGAAGAAGCCGCACCGAACGTGTATATTTGTTTATTACCTGTCCTTTCCTCGCCCTTTCTTCATCATAATTTAGGTCCAGCAAAGCGAGGAGTTAAATTTAAGGTCATGGCAAAACATCTGAAGTTCATCGCCAGGACTGTGATGGTGCAGGACGGAAATGTGGAAGGTGCATACAGGACCCTAAACAGGTAACTGTTAAGGGGGCAGAATCAGACCTGCATTAGTTCTCTGTAAAGTAAGATATTTATTCTCTCCGTTCCCCGGTCGTAGATTATTCTCGAACCAGTGCCAATCCAGGTGTTCAGTCTCTTGAAACGTCTCAGTTTATTATCTGAAACATGAAGTTCCTCCCCAGACCTAACCTACAGTGTATAAAGCTTGTTCAGCCAGCAGTCGTCACTTTGAAATGACCCTGAATTCTGTCCAAAAGAGCTCAAAGGGAAAAACTGGCTTGCAGAGTTGCTAGGAAGCAGGAACATAGAAAGCTGAGGGCGGGACTGGTGTAGGATGAGGTTAATGCAAAAAGTGAGTTCAGGTTGGAATCTCGAGCGAGAGATGGAAAGGCATTCTAGAGTTCAAGGAGAGTTACAGCATAAGCCAAAACAGGAATGCAAATGAGCTCGTTGGGGTGGAGGAGCTGAACTGAAAGGTTTGGAATGCTTGGCTGAGACTTGGAATAGCCCTGATAATGCTTCACCACTTTCAATTTCTCAAGCAAAAAACTTCTCAGTTTTTTTCTTTCTAGCGTGCCTCATTCATTGTTTTCTGACATCACAGTGAAGAAAGGTTAGGAGAAGTATGCTGTTGGGTTGAATGATCAAAGAATTATAGGAAAGAGATTTTGCAAGATTATACAAGGGGACTTCAAAAGGTTTGTGAAAAGTTTAAATGAAAAGATAATGTAGTCTCATTAAGTTTGTTTTGCTTTGTTTTGAAAAGCAGAGGGGCTGGCGCTGCGGCTCACTAGGCTAATCCTCCCCCTTGCGGCGCCGGCACACCGGGTTCTAGTCCCAGTCGGGGCGCCAGATTCTGTCCCGGTTGCCCCTCTTCCAGGCCAGCTCTCTGCTGTGGCCAGGGAGTGCAGTGGAGGATGGCCCAGGTGCTTGGGCCCTGCATCCCATGGGAGACCAGGATAAGTACCTGGCTCCTGCCATCAGATCAGCGCAGTGCGGCGGCCATTGAAGGGTGAACCAACGGCAAAAAAAGGAAGACCTTTCTCTCTGTCTCTCTCTCTCACTGTCCACTCTGCCTGTCAAAAAAAAAAAAAAAAAAAAAAAAAAAGAAAAGCAGAGGAACAGAGATCAATTTTTCATCTGCTAGTTCACTTTGTAAATGGCCACAATAGCCAGAGCATGTCTGAATCCATGAGCCAGTAACTTATTTGGGTCTCCCACATGGGTGACAGGGGCCTGAGCACTTGGGCCATCATCCATCGCCTTCCCAGGCACATTAACAGGAAGCTAGAATGGAGGCAGGGCAGGACTGGAACCAGTGTCCATATAATGCTAGTGTTGCAGACAGTGGCTTAATCTGCTGTGCCACAACACTGGCCCCCTTTTCATGAGCTTTTTGAAGGCCCCTGGTACATGTGAACTCTGCCTTAAGGCCTTTAATATTGTAGCTTTGGGGCCTGTGCTGTGGCGTAGAAGGTTAAGCCTCTGCCTGCAGCACCAGCATCCCACATGGGTGCCGGTTTGAGTCCCAACTGCTCCACTTCTGATCCAGCTCCTTGCTAATGCTCCTAGGAAAAATGGCCCAAGTCCTTGGGACCTCTGTACCCATGTAGGAGACCCAGAAGAAGCTCCAGGCTTTGGCTTAGCGCAGCCCTGGCCGTTGCAGCCATTTGGAGAGTGAACCAGCTGCTGAAAGATCTCTCTTTCTCCTTTTCTCTCTCTATCTCTGCCTTTTAAATAGATAAATAAATCTCTTAAAAAATAAGAGGTAAAGAAGGACAAAAAAATATTGTAGCTTTATTTCACAAGTAAGGAAACTTAGAAAGATGAAATTCTATTTCTTGGATCATGCAGTTACTGAAAGGTGGACAGGAGTATAAAGCACATGGTTTTAGTGCAGTATATGTTGCTGTATGTTACTAGATTATCGTGTATTAGTGTTTTGGGAAATGGAAAGGTCTGTGGCAGTTATTTTCCACTTGAGAATCATTATTTGATTGAGTTTAAATATTGGTGGGGCACTTGCGGACTGAGAGGGGCAAGTGACAGGGAACTTAATTCTGACCAAAGCAAAGATAGAAAGCTGAATGGCGGAGGAGAACAGTAAGTTAGGGCAACGATGCTACTAGAAGCTGTGCAACTGAGAAGCCGATGCAGGCTCGGGATACTTTGTGTATTTCTGCAACATTTATATTTGAAAGGCAGAGTGACAGAGATGGAGAGAGAGAGCTTTCCATCTCGTGGTTGACTCCCCAAATGGCTGCAACAGCCAGAGCTGTACCTTTACATACCTGCCTCTTCGAAAATGCTTATTCAGCCATATCTTTTTCATTTAATAAACAATAAATTTTTTCTCTAGTTTTCTTTATTTTCATTGTATTTGAAAGGCAGAGAGAAAAACAGGCAATGAGAGGTCTTTCATCAGCTGGATCCCTTCTCAAATTCCTGCAACAACAGGGCTGGGCCAGGCTGAAGCCAGGAGTCAGGAATTCCATCTGGATCTCCCATGTGGGCAGCAGGGACACAAGTACTTGAGCCATCACCTGCTGCCTCCCAGGTGCACATTAGCAGGGAGCTGGATGGGAAACAGAGGAACTGAGACTTGAACTAAACATTTCTATAAGGGGTGTGGCCATCTGAAGCAACATCTAACTACTGTGCCAAGCTCCTGCCCCTTTATTTTCATGATCCTAAGTTCAAGTGGATGGTGAATGAAGAAAAAATAAATAACAGAGGTAGAGGCATATGTGTATACCTCTGGCTTCTGGCCTGCCTGTTTTTTAAGTTTGTTTGTTTTTTTTTTTTGTTTTGTTTTTAAAGATTATTTATTTGAAAGGTAGAGTTACAGAGAGGCAGAGACAGAGAGAGCTTTTCCGTCCACTGGTTCACTCCCCAAGTGGCCTCAACGGCCAGAGTTGGGCCAATCCGAAGCCAGGAGCTTCTTTCGGGTCTCCCACCCAGGTGCAGGGTTCCAAGGACTTGGGCCATCTTCCACTGGATCCAGCAGAGAGTTGGATCCAAAGTGGAGCAGCCAGGACTTGAACCGGTGCCCATATGGGATACCGGCACTGCAGGAGGTAGCTTTACATGCCAAGCCACAGTACTGGCCCCTGGCCTGCTTTTTCTTAAGAATTTGTTTTCACATCTCTCTAAATTTCTTTCTTCTTGTTTCGTCTATTATTTCTTCTTAGTTTTAAATTTTTTTAAAGATATTTATTTGAAAGGCAGAGTTACAGAGACACAGAGACAGAGAGAGGTCTTCTATCCACTGGTTTATTCCTCAGATGGCCACTACGGCTAGAGCTGGGCTGATTCGAAGCCAGGAGCCTGGAGCTTCTTCTGGATCTCCCACATGAGTACAGGGGCTCAAAGACTTGGGCCGTCTTTACTGCTTTCCCAGGCCATAGCAGAGAGCTGGGTCGGAAGTGGAGCAGCCAGGACTCAAACTGGCAGCCATATGGGATGTCGGCACTGCAGGCAGTTGCTTTACCCACTACGCCACAGCACCGGCCCTCTTACTTTTATCTTTTTATATGACAGAGTGGACAGTGAGAGAGAGAGACAGAGAGAAAGGTCTTCCTTTTTTTGCCGTTGGTTCACCCTCCAATGGCCGCCACGGCCGGCGCGCTGCGGCCGGCACACCGCGCTGATCCGATGGCAGGAGCCAGGAGCCAGGTGCTTTTCCTGGTCTCCCATGGGGTGCAGGGCCCAAGCACCTGGGCCATCCTCCACTGCACTCCCTGGCCACAGCAGAGAGCTGGCCTGGAAGAGGGGCAACTGGGACAGAATCCGGCACCCCAACCGGGACTAGAACCCGGTGTGCCGGTGCCGCTAGGCGGAGGATTAGCCTAGTGAGCCGCGGCGCCGGCCCGGCCCTCTTACATTTTTTAAAAGCAGCCGCCCCATACTACTTTTGAGATTCTCTTCTTGTTGGTGATAGGTGGGTTACACATACATTTTTCCTGGGTGGAAGTATTAATTTTAGTTAGAAGCAACAGGAGACTCGTCAATATGACACCCTGCGTTTTTCAATCATGGCTGCCTCCTCAAATCACCTAGGTAACCTTTAAACTTGCACAACTTGTGACTCCAGCATCTCATATCACAGTGCTGGGTGGAGTCCTGATCGCTCCTCTTCTGATCCAACTTCTTGCTAATGCACCTGGGAAGGCAGTGGGAGATGGCTCAATTACTGGGACCCTGCCACCTATGTGGGAGATCAGGTTGGAGTTCCTGATCTCTGGGTTCTGCCTGACCCCAACCTGGCTACTATAGCCATTTGGGAGTAAATCAGCCTATGGAAGATCTCTCTCCCTGTCTTTCAAATCAATAAATCTTTAAAAATAAATAAAACTCTTGGCAGAGGGAAGGGAAGGTTGGCATTTAGCCTGTGATTAAAACACCCGTGTCTCACATTAGAGGACCTCTTGGGTTCTAGTCTCTGCTCCATCCTCCTGTCCTCTGCCCCCTTTTTTTTTTAAATGTTTATTTCTATCTTCTTGGAAGGCAGAGTGACAGATGTCTCACATCTGCTGGTTCACCTCCCAAATGCCCACAACAGCCAGGACTGAGCCAGGCTGAAGCCAGGAGCCCAGATGGCATCCAGGTCTGCTAAGTGTGTGACAGGGGACCAAGCTCTTGAGCCGTCATCTGCTGCCTCTCAGGATGCTTTAGCAGGAAGCTAGATCAGAAGCTGAGTGAGGGCCGGTGCTATGGCATAGCAGGTAAAGCTGCCACCTGCGGTGCTGGCATCTCACTTGGGCTCCAGGTTCTAGTCCAGGTTGCTCCTCTTCCAGTCCAGCCCTCTGCTGTGGCCTGGGAAGGCAGTGTAGGATGGCCCAAGTGCTTGGGCCTCTGCACCTGCATGGGAGAACCGGAAGAAGCTCCAGCCTCCTGGCTTCAGATCAGTGCAGCTCCAGCTGTTGGAATACTCTCTTTCTCCCTGTCTTGCTTGCTCGCTCTCCCAACCCTCCATCCCCCCTCCCCCCATAGCTATGCCTTTCAAATAAATATTA